ATTTTAAGGAAAAAAAGATGTCAAGGAGATTTGGAATGAAGGATATTATAATGAATAATAATAATATTTTACAAATCATATTGATAGCCCCGTCCAAGATTTTCAAAGGATACTATGCAAAACATGTGGCTTTACCACCACGGAAAATGTACTCTACTAAAGGCAAAGCAGTCCGTTTATATACCTAAAATGAAGAGCTAAGTCATTCAGTTGAATACCAATAATTATTAAAAGATTCAAATTAAGATACCTCTTCATTGGTGGCTTCGGCGTCAAACACGTCATCAAAAAAGAACGTGTGTTGTTCCACATACTTGGTCAGATCGACTTTCATTCTAATTGGATGGAATTAAGTAAATTACGTGAATCATTCCCGGCAGGCTAGTGATAGATAATAACGAGTCGAAAGACTTTGAGTGTCAAATTATAACGAAACATATGAGGCAATAAAGCTCACTTTGGCTCGTTTATTAGAACAGTCCTTTGGCCACTGACGGTAGCAATGTCTTTCTCGTTCCTAGTGAGCTCTTTCTTGCTGAGTGGACGTTTACGAACACATACTCTTATTTTGTCATTTAAATTACTAGGAACGTTTTGCTTTGCGGGTTGTGAATAAGAATTATTCCTTGATGAATGCCTTGATGGAACACCATACGCGTCTAAGTTTGGACGACGATTTGGTGATGAATTCGGCTGAATTTCTTCTTCCTCTTCTTCTTCAGGCGATTGTTGTGCTATTGGTTTAACATTGACAAACGGTGATGGTATTCGTGAACGTTGACTTCGACCTTGAGTGGGCGAAAGTCGACGACTCGTCAACGATGAAAGCGAAGGGTCCATGATAACATAAATTTGATCAAAAATAAAGTCTCAAGGTTGTTGAGTTATATAATCTGAAAGAACGATGGACTAAAAACGGTTAACGATTCTGAAGTCAACCTCGGTAACTAAATAACTTCTAAGATTGCAAACGAGTAAATCCGCTGTGTAAACAAACCCGGGGTCCATGACTTTAACTTATAGCTGATCGGCCAATCAACGAAGTTATTATACCTTAATTAACCGCGCCACTTTCAAATACGGTTTTCGTGTAACTGTCTCAAGCTTGACCCGACTAACACTTACTATATTTATTAAATGTATTGCTTCGTATTTATGCATTGAAAATAATTGTTCTCCTAGCGAATTTTTTCAGGAGCGATTTCCAAAACCTCGTGACATGAATTTCAAAATGATTGTGTGATGTTATGTAGTGCAACAATAAATGTAACGGAACTCATTAAAGGCCTCGTGTTTATTGTTAGAATTTTTTATCATATGGTTCTGTAAAATTTGTTGGACGAATGTTCAGGTGAGCATAACACAAAATGACAATGTTAAGTAGCATGTTACGTAGTTCGTGCTACATTCACAAATTTTCTAATTCGCGTAACAGTAAGTTCCAGATTTAAGTAAAGATTTAAAAAAAAAAAAAAAATAGTATTTATAGTTAAATCTACAAGGTAATGTATCTTAATATAGTTAAATTTACAGTGTTGGTGTGCCCTAAATTAATTAATTTTTTTAAAAGATATAACGATAATACAGTAATATTATGATTACCGTTGTAATATTATTAAATTACAAAACTGGTATAATCTTAAGACTATCTTTTTTTTTAAAAAAAAAAAATAAACCAAATTTTTTTGCCTGTAGTGTAACATGTTTTTAGCTAATAAAAAAAAGACAAATTTACTTAAAAATTGGTAAGTATAGGCCAAAATTATTAGCGTTAGTAAAACCCAGTTACCGTAAATGGCCATATAAAATACCCCCTTGATAGTAGACCCCTCTATTATACCGGGTCTAAGAATTTGATTAGTAATTTATTTATATCTAACAAGAAGAAATCTACCTATTACCCGGTCGTCAGCTGATACATTATCGTATTAAGTTCGCTATATCGATATACTATTTGAATCCGTTATAGCCATTTTAAATTTCCTATTACTGTATTAAAAATTCGATACTTTGAACCTAGTCCGTTAAACCGGTGGATCCGGTCTAAGGATGTCCGTTATATCGATAGTTTATATAATTATACAGTAATATGATTTGTTATACTTATACCTTAAGCGAAGCAAAGTAAAATTTCTGATTTTCACGTTAGCACAAAAAAAAGACGCTTTCAAAATTGTGCTACACAATTGCACCATTTTAGCCCATTTGTGCTCGAAATTTGATTACAAAATGGGTGGTCGGCTAAAGCGGAGCGA